TGGAGAGAAATACCAAACAAACCACTGGAACATTATCTAACACAATGCAAAGTTACAAATCAAACAATATCATCACTGATACTTTACATCAGTGATGCTAAACGCATTTGAACATTACCTGTACAGGAGTCAATATAGGAGTCGTGGATACTCATCAACCACTTAATAATGAGATGAGTTACTCTCAGTGGGCCAGCCAGAGGTCATTGGCCCACGTAGAAACATCGCAAAATAAATTTATATTCACCTCTGGTAAGTGTAGAACTATGACCCTAAACGGACCATTTAACTAAGTATTTTAATTATAATTTTGACTCTGTAGCTAATGAGTGTGACACCTCTAGTCATAACTTGGCACACAACTTGTTAATTTTCAGACGTACTGTTTAACATTCAACTTGTTAATTTTAATTATAACTGTTTTCATTTTTGTTAACGCTTCCAAAATGTTTGACCTAAGTGAGCACACTCAATTTTTTTATTTTTTAGAGAGAATTGTTAAGCATAAACTTATATCTAAGATACTTCTATATTTTATCTAAGATACTTCTATATTTCTCATCAGTGGAAAGTAGCTGAGAAAGAGCAATGTCTCATCTGAAAAAAGCTACACTCATAAATTACAGTCAACAAGATATGCTGTATTCTATTATTTACAGTCTATCGTTATGTATTTTTTAAATTTATAAATCAGAAGAGATGGCTGTCACATAGACTGTACTTAGGTTAATTATTTTTGGCTTGAAATGGTGATTATCTAGTTCAATTAAGACCAATCAGAATTGCTATAAGTATATTTTAGATGTTTGCGTAGTATAGAGTGCATTATGCTTTAATATATATTATGTTTCATAATTTATATTATAAATTATGCTTTAATATAAATTTAATATAAATTAAATGCATAGAGCGCATTAGGCTTTAATAAATTCGTTTTAAATCAGGTAGATGTGCTCTAGCTGTTTTTAGCCAGATCATTAATCAGGAAATAACACTAGAACCACTACAAGTATTCCTCACGGTGTTCAATCCCCGATGGAACTTGGGTTATCGAGGATTGAACCCCGGCCTGCAAGAAGCGAGGCTGTCGCTGACCCTGCCAGATCATTAAATTACTACTAATCATCTAGTTCAAAAAATATTTATAGGAGCAAAAAGAATTAAATTAGAACACAACAATCAACTTACTTATATAATATTCTGTCCTCTTCTTGAAACACTTCAATGAAATTTGTCCTCTTCTTGAAACACTTCAATGAAATTTGTCCTCTTCTTGAAACGTTCCTTATGTCTCCCGATAATTTATTCCATAAATGGTAATTTACGCTAAATTTATGGTGATTTATTCCATAAATTAACATCGCTAACCAATAGTTACCTATTTTTATTATCTAAACTTTCCTAATTTGCTTCCATTGTATCCGCATTCTATTATGCGTTTAAATATTTACCATCTGAATGTTTTCTTTGTCCTACAAGAGCATAGTAAAACTGTAGAATAAAGCTAGATTTTCTTATTATTAAACCTCTTCGTTAACCATTCTGTATTATCAGTATTTATGTTGACCAGACCACACACTAGAAACTGAAGGGACGACGATGTTTCGGTCCTGAACCATTCTCAAGTCTATTGTGAGTCCCACAAGTGAGATCAAGTCTCACAATCGACTTGAGAATGGTCCAGGACCGAAACACCGTCGTCTCTTCACTTTCTAGTGTGTGGTCAGGTCAACATATTTCAGCCACGTTATTGTGACTCCTCGTCTGCTTATCAGTATTTAATTTGCTATAACAAATTTCGGAAAAAAAATATTACCTTCAGTGAATCTCTTCTACAGGAGACAATATGTCTATCCAAAATTGGAGGCCTGACAGAGGCCTCGCTGAAATACTTCAGACATAGGCTGGTCGGGGGAGGCCTATGTTAAATGCTCTACGAAAAATGAGCATTTATAGACACCCTCTAGGCGTTTTTTGTCGATTCAAGTGTGAAATATGTGCCATGATTCCCCTAGAGTTTTTAGACAAAAAAATTTTTCTGAGATACTTCCACAGAGTTTCAGTGCTTAATAATACATCTTCAGAGGTAAGGGGAAGCAGGGGGGGGGGGGGAATGGGGTAGAACAAGGGGACGGGTGAAAGGGGGTACCCCAAGGGGAATGAGGGGGAGATGGTGTGAAGCATGAGGAGGAGGGAGAAAGGGTGGAGTGAGGGGGAAGGGGGTGTGACCCGGGAGCAGCCGGGTCATCCCTTCTCTATAAATAAATGGAAATGCCTGTCTTTTTACGGGCTCACCATAGCCCGTGCTACATGGACACTTCGTCCTGAGTAGCTAAATCTTTAACAACAACAACAACTATCTGTTCGAGATTGGAAGAGAGGTGGGGGAGGGTAGGGAAGTGGGGAAGGGTAAGGAGGTGGGGGAGGGTAGGGAAGTGGGGAAGGGTAAGGAGGTGGGGGAGGGTAGGGAAGTGGGGAAGGGTAAGGAGGTGGGGGAGGGTAGGGAAGTGGGGAAGGGTAAGGAGGTGGGGAAGGGTAGGGAAGTGGGGGAAGGGTAAGGAGGTGGGGAAGGGTAGGGAAGTGGGGGAAGGGTAAGGAGGTGGGGAAGGGTAGGGAAGTGGGGGAAGGGTAAGGAGGTGGGGAAGGGTAGGGAAGTGGGGGAAGGGTAAGGAGGTGGGGAGGGTAGGGAAGTGGGGGAAGGGTAAGGAGGTGGGGGAGGGTAGGGAAGTGGGGGAAGGGTAAGGAGGTGGGGAAGGGTAGGGAAGTGGGGGAAGGGTAAGGAGGTGGGGGAGGGTAGGGAAGTGGGGGAAGGGTAAGGAGGTGGGGGAGGGTAGGGAAGTGGGGGAAGGGTAAGGAGGTGGGGAAGGGTAGGGAAGTGGGGGAAGGGTAAGGAGGTGGGGAAGGGTAGGGAAGTGGGGGAAGGGTAAGGAGGTGGGGGAGGGTAGGGAAGTGGGGGAAGGGTAAGGAGGTGGGGGAGGGTAGGGAAGTGGGGGAAGGGTAAGGAGGTGGGGAAGGGTAGGGAAGTGGGGGAGTGTGAGGAGGAGGGAGAGGGTAAGGTATTGATATACTATTTGGCTATTAAGATATTTTCTTGAGCATATAAAATATCCTCAGAATTTCAGAGTGACTTTAACAAAGAAAAATTTGCCCTTATGACAAAAGTTGTATTAATTGGATTTGATTTGAATACATAATAAATAATAAAAGTGAGTCACAAGAATAGCTAAAATGTAACAATTAAATACGTCTCCAGACAAAGTCCTGGAACAGAATTTAGAAGACAAATGAGATGTTTAGAATGCCTTTACTGAAGGCGTTCGAGGACACATTGAACATGTGTCCGTGTGTCCGTATTGTCCCCGTGTCCGTATACCTGCAATGTGTCTCAATACATCATCTGTGTCCACACCTATCAAGTGTCTCCTACACTTCCTATGTGTCACGTGGTGTTTGACACTTACGTGGACATTAATTAAAGTAATAAATAAAGTCATCTTCCTTAAATTGAAAATTCTGAAACAATGACTTTACTCATTTGCATAGTATGATCTTCGATTATAGTGTCACCTTGTTTAAGCACCTTAGATCGCATGCCCAACCACTTAGGGTGAAGGATAGATCGACGGTCTGGCTTCTTGCAGGCCGGTGTTCAATCCCCGATCGTCCAGGTGGTTGAACACCATCCCCCCTCCCCCGTTACATAATTCTTATCCTGGTCCCTTTTTGCAGGTCGGTGCGCAAAATTCGATAAATTAACGGCATAGAGAGAGAGAGAAGGAAAGATTCGAATATGGAAGAGAGGCAAGATTAGGAGGAATGGGGAAGAAAGGAAATATAGAGAAAGGAGAGGTAGAGAGTAGAAAGGGGAAGGGAGAGATTGTAGTGGTAGAGACTGGCGGAGGTAGAGATTGGGTAGGTAGAGAGATAAGGAAGTAGAGAATAGGGGGGGTAGAGAGAGAGATGGGGAAGATAAAAGAGGCAGGAAGAGAGATGGGGTAGAGAAAGTGGGATAGAGATAGGAAGGGTAGAGAGAGAGGGTGGTACAGAAAGGGTGTCTAGAGAGGGAAGATATAATAACATGAGTAGTGAGGTGCAGAGAATAGGCATAGGTGACGAGATAGAGATGTGGGAGAAGAGAAAGTGACTGAAAAAAAGGAGAGAGAGGGAGAGATAGGTGGGTAAAAGACAGGAGATAATAGGTGACAGAAGTTGAAACATAAATATTTATGGAATTGATGTGGTATACAAGAATAAAAATCATGCATAACTATGTATAGAAACATGCTTCTGAAGATGTATTGTTAAATACGAAAGTACTTAAGTAAATTCCTGTTTCAATCCTTCCTTCGTGGTCTGACACTGTCACATTTTTCATCACGTGTTAATTTTCGTTATTTACGCACACAAACATTATATGTGTATATATATATATATATATATATATATATATATATATATATATATATATATATATATATATATATATATATATATATATATATATATATATATATATATATAACATCTTCAGTTTTAAAATCATATTGACTTGTAAATGTTATATTAAAGCTAATAACTATTTACCCCTTCAAAATCAATTTCTAACCACCACATGTGGTGGTAACTATACAATGTGTATTCTAAACCCAAAATATACCACATGTGTGTATAGTTTACTATACACATGGTGTATTCTTAAGCAACACCTGAGCGAAGCTTTCATCAGTAGAACTGCAAAACACTCAAGGCCAAAGCTGCTACGACATACCTGACTAAAGCTGTGAACACACGTGCCCAGAACCCCCCTCAAAACCCCCCCAGGGTCTCCAAAACCCCCTGGGATACGAACCTGGGGTGTTAAAATACCGGGTTGGGTCAACCTAAGGCGATATTTTCGCTCGGGGAAGACACTATGGTAAAGTGTGTAAATAGTGGTATACCCAGAGAGGGAGAGAGAGAGAGAGAGAGAGCGAGAGATGTTCAGTGGGCTGCCAGCAGCGGTACGGACAAGACGGGGTGTTGCTTCTCTCTCTCTCACTCTCCCTCTCCCTCTCCTACCTCTCTCACTCCCTCCCTCGGTCTCTCCCCATTAGGTGAGAAATTTTCCTCCCTTGGGAAGGAATCTTGTATCCGCTTCACATAAATCTATATACATTTCAAAAGAACCATTCGAAATGAAGTTTTAGATTGTAATGTTGTAGCGAGAACACTATTTTGATTACCATGAGTCGAATCTCAAGTAAGCTAAATCTAATTCAATGTAAAGTCGCGCAGATACTAAGTGATTTTTTTTTTGCTTTCAGATAGTTTGATGAGCGCGAGTGACCGACAAGACCACAACGCGAATCTATGACATTTCCATACCGCGAGTGTGTGAGTGTGTGAAAAATACGCGATACAGAACTCCCTTGACTGAACTTCAAGTGTAAACAGAAGTGTAATACCTGCGTTGAAAACATGATAACACACATTAAAATGGCGAAGATGGAAAGTCCCTTGAGTGCAGTGGCCGAGTTACAGAGTGTGAAGGAACTAGTGGACAGCAATAATAACGGCGAAGCTGAGGTCGCCGACTCCACCCCGCGGTGCGACGCTGTAAACATTACAGGTGGTGGAAACTCGTCCGGAGGGAAGTACCAGCTGCGGCCTCGTTCCCTGCAGGCCCGGCGTCGCTCTGACAGCGAGTGGAGTCTCCAGGACTCGTTGAGACACAAGCCGCGGCCTCCGCCGCTCTCCAGGTACCGCAGGAAGACGGCCAATGCCCGGGAGAGGTACCGCATGCGGCAGATCAACACGGCCTTTGAGAGCTTGCGGGGCGTCCTGCCATCCTGGGTGTGTAGTCGCCGCCCCGCCTCGGATATGACCAAGATTACCACCCTGAGACTTGCCTCGGCTTATATCCGATCCCTCCAGGATATACTGGATGGTAACGCCCACCAGGACACCTGCTCCTGGGTGCTTTCCAGCATCCTGGAAGAGGCCTCGACCAGCCCTAAGCAGCCGCAGGTTAACCAGTACCCCACAATCTCCAACAAAATGCAGCAGCCCCCTGCTTACGTCACTCAAGAATCCGACTTTGTCACACTTCTCTGTAACCCTGCAGATCCAGGCGTTTTCCAGGACAATCTTGAGACGTTCTCGTACCTGTCACCCATGTCGGAGACGGAAGCCATGGCTCTCCTGCTGGGGAATGACCCTCCTCGCACCTGGGGTGACAGCCAGCACCCGCCCCTTGTGTCGTAGGGCACTCGAGGTTCTCAGTTTAATCTGAGACATGTCTTGTATTCCTGAAGGAGGAGCTCTTTACTGATCTTTATGACTTCCGTTATCACAGGCTTCGTGCTCATTCTTGTACGTTTATACCAGCAAGTGATAGTCTATCCATGTTAATTTTTTCCTCGTTTTTGATAACTTTATTGGTTCACAAAGGAATGTTGTTGCCAGGTTGAGTGAAAAATTGGCTCTATACATCACGATGATAACGAGGGAAGTGAATGCTGTTTTCCTGTGAGACTTACTAACGTGAAGCTTTGGCTGAACGTCAAAGTTAAAAGTTTACGTACCAGCACGAGACAGTTTACTGAGTTTACCTGGAAAACATGATGATGGGTTTTGGTTGGTGCTTTAAATGTAAGGTTTCTTATATATAAAAATCTTTTTGCTAGACTTTGTGGTCCTGAGAGTTATATATTAACAAGGTTTACGACATTTCATAAAGATAATTTTTTCTTTCGGTTACCAGATAACGACCAACTTAATAACCTGGTATCATTGCAACGACTGGCTCGTTGCTGACGACCTTATTGTGACGACCTGTGTTAAACGACCACAAAAAGTCCACCAACGTATTTAAGCTACATACTCCCTTAACACTTCAAGTTGTGCTCGTAGAAAGCAGATTAATTTAAAGCATTAGCACAACAAAGTTCCCCAACAGCTTATTGTAATTCTTACCTTCTATCTATAAAGATCAAGAAAGTAGAAACTGACATATTCAGCACAGTGTTTTATTCTGATATATGACCATTTTCAAGGCTCAACTCCTATATCAAAGCATAAACCAGAGTCAAAGGCAAATTGAAAAAAAATATGAAAAAGTTTGCTCAAGTTTTTTTTCGTGTGTTTGCCCTCCCCTTCCCCCTTCTTCCTGGCGTATAATTGTACATAATTCAGCGCCAAAGGATAACCTACCACAGCAATATATATATATACTGAACGTTTCCCTAAAACGAACACGTACAACGTCAAGATTAGATGCGTGATAACTAGTGATCTTTTGTTAACCAAGAAACCCAAGCTGGCGGTGAACCAGGGACGTAAACAGTGTAATCCAGTACAGTGTAGTCCATTACAGTGTTCTCTAAAACCATGCAAATCTAACCGCATCTCATCCCTGGTGGTCTCTACGACATAATTGTGTTCCTGGCATGAGACAGAGTATATATACATGTTATTAATTGTGCCTATGTAAGGGGTTACACTTATGTTCCCTCTGGCTGTTGCGTGTTCCTTCGCGGTTGCTTGTAAGTAGCTATACAAGCTTCCAGTAGCGACCTCATGGGAAGCAATTAGCGGCCTTATGGAGAGCAACCACAAGCATCCAGGAGCGAGAGAACAGACAGACACAGCCAGAGTCTGGATGCAATATGAGCTGCCTCTCGAAGCTCCCTACATTGATGATAATCTAAAATGTTATTCAGCTTTGAAGCAAGAGACGGTCTTATTTATCTACATTCATATATATATATATATATATATATATATATATATATACTTATGATACTAATGTTAGTCTCTATCATTGTTTATATGAGTTTGAAATTAGAATTGAGAGTAGTAACTCTTTGTGAATTAATATGTCCGACGTCTCTCATGGATTGATCCCTCGCACATATGTAAATGCACATATGTAAATGCAAATCGTCATATAAAACAATATATGAAACGTAACAAAAAATATTTAATTTACATTTGTTTTATAAAATCTGTAACTGATCAGGACAATGCTTGAGAACGTTTTCATATGCTGACTACAGCTTATCTTGGAAATACAAGATAAGCCCTCAACATCTTTTCTATTTAATTCTGAATTAACGTAACTAAATTTCCACTGAGAGGCAAGACCAGGGCTTCCTGCATACTAAATATACTGTACAGTATAGTTTTAAACTGATTTATGAGAGTAAATTTTAGAGTATCATATTGATTATGTAAGATCTACTGTGGAATTTCTTAATTGTAATATTCATAAAGTAATTAACAGTGTAGAGTTTCATATTGATTCTCAAAGTTGATCTGTAGTGTTTCATATTGTTTCTGAAAGTCATACTGTAAAGATTCATATTGATTTTTAATGTTTTACTGTAAGAATTTCATACAAAAATTTACTGATTTTTGGGGAACTAGATTCCATTATTTTATCTGGCAGGATTTTTATTTTCTTTTAAGAATGAGACACATTGTTGCTTGTTCCCTGAATATGAGTTGCAATATATATATATATATATATATATATATATATATATATATATATATATATATATATATATATATATATATATATATATATATATATATACATGGACCCAATGTGGGCCCAGAAACATAGCTTACTGTAAATTAATGTTGTGTTTGGTAGTTATTCTAGTCAATAGGTTTGTGCCATAGTTAGAATACTATGTAATTTATGTGATGGGTTTATTAGTATTTTAAATTAGCAAAAAAGTTAATATATGTTTGAGTTTGTATGTATATTAATGTATGTATAAATGAATACATGCAGCCACACACACACACACACTCGTAGGTTTAGATAAATATGTATTAGTAATGCCTTATGTTTTGTATATAATTAGCACAGTTGTCTAGAGATTTAATAACAACATTAGGCAGTAGACGTGTCTGCTGAATGGTATAGCACTGTAGAGTTGTCATGAATACCCGACTTACTCATATGTGGCATCAACACATGACTTGTGTTGATGGCAACACGGGTCATCAACCTGTGATGATGATACACCACTACACACCTGCCACCCCCAGGTGTGTAGTGGTGCCAACACCTGTTCCTGTGGCACTAACACCAACCCCTTTGGCACCAACACCTACCCCTTTTGGCACCACCAATATCTGCTCCTTTGGCACCACCAACACCTGCCCTAATGTGATCAATACCTACACCTGTGACACCAACGTTTAACGAAGTGATATCAACACCTGTCCCCCCACCCCCCTTCTGTCTGTCTGTCTGTCTCTTTCGCTATCAAAAACATCTGTCGACTTCATTTCCATTAATCTTTGTGTCGCCAAGATTTCGTGACGTCCCATCTTCTTAAAGACGTCTTTTCTATCACTCTCTTTCTTTCTTCTACATCACCATATCAGTCTCTTGTTACCTCTCCCTTGTATCGAATCATCTTTGCATCTACCATGCATTGTCCTCTGTGATAACTTCATCTTTTTCCCTCATTGCCTATCTCTTTGTTCTTCATATGCCCTCCACAGTACTTAATGAAGAAAAGTACTCACGTAATGGGGAAAGATTACGTGCGACTTATTTTACGTTATCTTGTCTATCTGAGCACTTAATCCTCGCCCGTGTGTGTGTGTGTGTGTGTGTGTGTGTGTGTGTGTGTGTGTGTGTGTGTGTGTGTGTGTGTGTGTGTGTGTGTGTTTTTAGACCCTTCTTCTTCAGTGGTCTCTGCATATTTGTTTTCTCTCCCCCATTCTCTTTTATTTGCCTATCTGCCTCTATCCTTCTGTGCCTGCTCATCTCGATCTGCATTTATTTTGCTCGCTCTCTCTCTCTCTCCTCTGCTCTATCTTTCTCTCACTCTCACCCTCTCTCTTTCCCTCGACCTCTTTCCCTTCTTTTCAACCATCTTCCTCTCTATAAATATACCTCCCTCTACCCCTCAATATATATACCTACATCTACCCCCTATCACTCTGACTCCCCCTCTCCCAATATCTCTGATATTTTGGGTCATTGTTGTGTTCTAATTGATCATTCCATCTCTGGTTTCCGTGTGTTCTCAGTCCGGCTATAAATGGATTTCATGTCGGCTTTCTCTCGGTCTCCACAACCCTCTCGTCCCTTTTCCTTGGCGTCCGCCTAACAGAAAGTACGCTTTCTCCACGTAACCATCTGTTCTTTCTTTAAAGCACTCTCCACTTCTCTCTGGCTTTAAAGCAATTTGTCGCCTGTTTTATTGAATGGGTTTTCGCAATGGGATACTCCTATTATTTTGTTTCATTCTTACATATGATGACTCTTTCACCTGTAGGCTTCCGGGTTCACGAACCTTCAGTTGCACTGGCTTTTAAATCGACTTGCAACCATCCCTTTAAATCGACTTGCAACCATCCCTTTAAATCGACTTGCAACCATCCCTTTAAATCGACTTGCAACCCCCTTTAAATCGACTTGCATCCCCCCTTTAAATTGACTTGCATTCCCCTTTAAATCGACTTGCAACCCCCCCCCCTTTAAATTGACTTGCATCCCACTTTAAATCGACTTGCATCCCCTTTTAAATCGACTTGCAACCCCCTTTTAAATCGACTTGCAACCCCCTTTTAAATCGACTTGCATCCCCTTTTAAATCGACTTGCAACCCCCTTTTAAATCGACTTGCATCCCTCTATAAATCAACTTGCAACCCCCCCCCTTTAAATCAACTTGCAACCATCCCCCCCTATTTAAATCGACTTACACCGCCCCTTAAATTGACTTGTACCATTCTCCTATCGAACCTTTCTAGATTCTCTACCCGGCTTTACCTCAAATCCTTTTCATCACTTTGACTTCTCCTCCACTTCGTTTTCTCCCGTCTTGAATCTTCATATTTTCTAATTTAGTTGCACCTTCGGGTCTTACTATAGCGCCTCTACGTTGTTAATTATAGTTGTTCTATTCTCTCTCATCCACCGAAGATTCACTCTAATCCTCCACCCAAGATTCACTCTAATCCTCCACTTACCTCTCGTTTATGGGGGCTCTCGGATTACACTTAAATCCATTCGTGTTTCCACTTGAATTCTATTTTCTGGATTCCCCTTTCACTCCACCTGAAATCCCATATGGTTCCATATGCAGGCGATGAGTCACAATAACGTGGCTAAAGTATGTTGACCAGACCACACACTAGAAGGTGAAGGGAAGACGACGTTTCGGTCCGTCCTGGACCATTCTCAAATCGATTGTCAATCGACTTGAGAAGAGTACAATCGACTTGAGAATGGTCCAGGACGGACCGAAACGTCGTCGTCCCTTCACCTTCTAGTGTGTGGTCTGGTCAACATATGGCTCCATTTGGATTTCCCTTGGCACGAATTGGATTCCCTCTTTGATTCCACCTGGATTGCTTCTTGACTACATTAAGGACCATCCATTTAACATTACTTGGATTCCCCCTCCGTGATTCGACTTGTACACCCACCCCTTGATTTCAACTTGATTACCCACTTGCCTGGACTTGAATTTATCCCTGGATTCACCTGGTTTCTATCTTGAATTCCTCCTCCCCCTCCCCCTATTCGGGCACTAGAATGTACCACATACACGACTTTAGCTTAGCCAGCAGTGCTCCAAGAAACTGTTCACTGTACAAGGGGGTAATTACAACTTCTGTCTCTGGCTCTCGTCAATAAAGGTATTTTTATTACTTCGATTCGTTTTTTTTACTAAAACCTGTAAAATAAATACAAAAGCTTCAGAGGAGTATAAATTTGCATGAAGCTGTATATGTCTTCCAGCAGGGAAGAACAAGCAGCTTCGCAGACGAGAGAACAATAGCAGTAATTATAATAGAGTTTCTTTTTAATAGCTAATTTATCTTTTTTTTTAAATAAACCTATTTTCGATCTTGCTATAATCTCCCTGTGATTTGGGCAAACATCTCCCCCCCCCACCTCCCATTTTCTATTTATTTCATATATACTCATATAATGGGTTATGTTGTTTTTATATTTACTCGAGTCATGTATTAAATATTC